AATAAGACTTTTTGGCTTGTTACTAGATATTTATTTATTGGTCCACTTCAAAATAGCCCGCCAGCATTAAACTGTGCATATTAAGTATGTGGCTCAAGTATTAGCGTTTTAAATATGACCCTAAATATGTGCAATAGTAACAGTGATTTTGGCCGACAGAAGCAGCAGGTAAGGCTTGGCAGAAAGGTTAATCCCACAGAGTACTCTATTGTTATGTCTGCCCGGTGTCCTGTAATCCTCAATTTCCCGCTGCCCCGGTCCACCTGGAAAGCCAAGCTTTGATCAATATCGCTGGATGAATTCAATAAACTGCTGCATCTTCTGTGCCACTATCCTCGCCAATCACAACATGAGCATGATAGTTTTCTTATGCAGGAAAGGATCAGTTTGCTGTTGCTAAATTAATAACAGAATAATCTACCATCACTGATTGCACACTGCCTTATTTGCTTGTATTATGCTGATATGCAGTGACAACAAGCTCACGGTGATCCTCAGAGAGCTGTAACCACCTTTGCCGTACAGGGAATGATGTTTGCACCCTGGAGGAGAGATTTGAAGACGATGGATGCCGTATTACAGGCATTTCTCACATGCACAGCAAACACAAAACACTCAGCGTCTTGGGTTTGCAGAGAGAAGCGGTATTTTCCTTCACTTGATGTCTACTTAAATAAAAGAACAGAGCTGTCTGGATGCTTGCTGCACAAGCTGTTGCCGAATCTGGCTCATTATATTCTCTGAAAATATTGCTTCTGGAGGCTTTGCCCTCCTCTACTCTCACTTTCCTTCATGGTGGATGAATCAAAGGGTTTTTTTTGTATATAAAAATGGGATGTGGTAACTGAGGTCCATGAAGGGTGTATCTGTGTCTGACCTCCACACAAACGATCCCCTCATCAGCCGCAAGAGCGGCTCACTTGCTGTAATGAAGGCTGGGGAATGAGAATGAGGAAGATGATGGTGAAGTTTGGCTAATCAATGGCTGGAATCTTGAAAGGCTAAATGTGCAGATCCCAAGCAAATAAAAATAGAAGCATCTTATTAGTGATGGCTGCAAGATTTCTACAAACTCAAAGTATCAGGGGTGTAACAGCTTTTGGGAGAGAGTCTTTGTATTTTAAGAGTTCTGTTTCACTTGGCTGCAGTGGAAAGGAAATACAGGTGCATCTCAATAAATTAGAATGTCGTGGAAAAGTTCATTTATTTCAGTAATTCAACTCAAATTGTGAAACTTGTGTATTAAAGTACACAGACTGAAGTAGCCGGTAGTGTAAAACAACAATTTTAAGAAGCAGTGGACTAAAAGAACTATGCTATGTCTGGACAGTAAGCAACCACCTGCTCAGCTAACGGAACATTCTCAGAACTTTGGCTAAAGTGAAAGCTTCTCTCAATATTATAAACAAACGTTCTACCAGTAATTAATAGAACATTTGTAGCATTTGGACCAATCAGACACACAACTTTTTGTTATATTTAACAAATAATATCGAACTCCCCATCACCTAACCAAATGGCCAATTACGAGGGTCTATGGACCCTTCCCCCGAAATGCACCTAACACCTCAGAAAAGCAGAACAGGCCTCTGGTTCCATGGTAACCAATGCTGATATCACTGGTTTTATGGCCTAAAAGGAATGCAGGGGATAAACTCCCTCATTTTCCTCATAAGAAAGGCACAAATGCACAGGAGAAACTGACTTTTCTACTAATTAATTCATAGGAAAACCTTCTTTGAATGAACAACCATTTTCTTCAGGCCATTGTGTATATTATTGCTGTGTTGTATTTAATCTGTTGTATTATAGACTATTTTTATCCGTGCTTACGATAAACCACACATTCATATAAGTAACTATTTCATGTCTAGTATCTATGAATTCGCCTTCCTATGATCGAAACTGTTCAATGTTTATGTTTTTTTTTAATGTAGAACATTTTTTAAATGTAACTACTAACTACTTGTTTCTGAATGTTCGGAAAACATCCAAATGTAACCTTCCCATAATGTTTGCGAAATTAAAAATGGATTTAAAATATAATCATTATAAATTATAAATATATAAATATAAATTATTTCCATCCTTCTCCTCCTTAGAAACTATTTTTGTTAGCTAGGTGTTAACCACTCTAGCAACCAAATAGAAACCAGCTGATAAACACCCTGGCAATCAGCCACAAGCATGGTGGCAACTTTTACACCATTCACCTAAAGAAATAAATACATTTTTACGTTTTTTTTTTTCAAGTTTGATGAGTATGTATTGAAATGCCCTTCAGGGTGTTTTTTTTTTTTTCAAATGTAATCAGTTCACACAAAAAAAATCATTATTTGCATCCTCTTTAATATAAGAGACTTTATAACTGGTTTTTGGCGTGTTTGTTTGTTTTTGGGTGGCTGAACTTTTGTGCTTTTCAAGATAATGCATGAAGACATTAGACTTTTAGATTACTGGCCTAGTAGATGGTTTTTCATTTTTAGTCTATTACATATTTGAGTTGAGATGTGCTTGGTTCGTTGTGTTTCAGGACCCCAGGGAGAGAGTTCCTGAACCATTTATCTATTTAAGTCTACTGCTTTTCTTAAGCAATTAAATCGCCACATTATTTTCTCTCTCATGCAGATCCTAAAGCACTTCTAAAGGGCTTGTGTCATTTCATTCTCATAATGAAACATCAAGTCTGTTTTGCAGCTCCAGTGTCCATTTACAACATTCTAGGTAGTCTAACAGGTTTGAAAAATAAACCCAGTTACCCAGTTGAGGTTCTCAAAAATTGTAGTTTTGGGCTCATATGTGATCAGTTTGATAAGAAAATTGATTTTTTGATGGGTTGAGATTTTTCTCTCACCTCAGATATCAGGCTCAAATTGTAATTCATGTTTCCAAGAATGAGAATGAGAAACAAATTGCTTTGTCACAAGATATTTGCCATCTCATCTAAAACCTACATGTCCTTGCATGTTCTTCTGAATTCAGGGCATCTGTAATTTAAGATGATGGGTCAAAAGCGTCCTTGTCGATTTCCGAAACTACTAATAAGAGACTTTCCAAAGATTAAAGGTGTGTAAAAATGTAAAAACTTCACTTTTTGAAACGCTTAGTACAAGTGAATTTAAAGGGATAATTCACCCCAAAATTTGGAACAACTTGAGGGTGAGTAAATGACAGAATTTTCATTTTTGGGTGAACTAAATGTTAGGTGTAAGTTAGGTGCCTACATTTCTGTTCTTCATTGAGGCTTTTCATGTTTAAATGAAACTCATTAAACCTGATCCACCAGGTCTATTAGGTTTTGAGATTGTGTCGGTTCACCTGACCTGCGGCGAGTTGATTTTGCTGACAAATAATTGTTATCAGTACCTGTATCTACAGCTGTGACACAAGAACATGCTGAATTTCAGCTTTATTTGGGAGGATGCAATTTAAAAATGCATTGTAATTATGCTGCAATACTCTTTAGTGAACTTTGCTCCTATTCATTACGAGCAACAACAGGGACAGATGGATTTATCAGTCCTACATCATTTTTCTCTTTTTTCAGTTCGGTGTGGATTTCAGAAGCAAACTGTCACCCCAGATCTCCGTGAGTTACACAGAAGCTTTGATGCACAATACAGCAGTATTTTTTTTAATAATAATGAAACTTCACCATATACAGTGGGATCCAGGAGTCTACATTGACAATCTGTGATTTAAAATATAAATTTTTTAAAAGAAAACAGATCAAATGTAACACACACATAAACACACAAAACGTTTTTGGATTGTGAAAAATGTCAAATTTACACAATATGCTCTTTGAGTCATAATCGATTCATGCTGAATAATGGATCAACATGTTTTGTGCACTTCTTGACATTTATAAGGAAAATATTTGTTTAGTTAGGGAAATGTCAGACTTTTCAACCGTAGTCTATATGTTCAATGACTTCCCTAAATTTTGGATGTTCAAGGTTTGTTATTGCACTCATAAAACTTTGATCGGAGTTGAAGGCCGCAGGGCTTTCAGTAAAAGTGTTTTTACACTAACATTTTTAATGCAAATCTGAGTTCATTTGACATTTTTGGTTCATTAATCTCATCTGAAATCGGGTTTCCGGATGCAATGTGCATTTTTAGCATGTTATGCGGTTGCTAGGTTTTACTGGGCAGTTTTAGCTTGTTGCAATGTGGTTGTTAAGGTGTTGTGTGCATTCTTAGAGCGTTATACAGTTGCAAGGTGGTTGCTAGGGTGTTGTGTGCATTTTTAACATTATGTGGTTGCTGGGGTGTTGTGTACATTCTTAGCATGCTGTTATGTATTTGCTAGGTGGTTGCAAGGGTTTACTGGGCAGTTTTTAGCATGTTGCAATGCAGTTGCTAGGGTGTTGTGTGCATTTTTACCATGTTATGTAGTTGTAGAGTTAATAGGGTGTTCTGGCTGCTTTAGCATATTGCTAAGTGGTTATTATGGTGTTTTTGTGGTGTTTTGGACATTTTTGGTTCATGAATTTGATCAAAAAGTGTTTTTTCGAATGCAGGTCCAAATTCAAGTTTGAGCCAGGCAACCAAATCACCATCATTGGTGAAGGTAAAGCGATAGAGAGGTATGGGGGTATTTTTTTTAAGACGCTCACCTCAATGAAAGTTGATGAATTTTATTACCTTTCCATCTTCTTACCTCCTCACAAGGTTGCCGTGATTTTTGCACGTACAGCGAGAAGCTGCATATATTATTTACACCTCTGACACCTGATCCTGAACACTATACTGCACAGCAGAGGTTTGTGTGGAGCTGTGAGAAATTCACATGTGTAGATACCAGACGCCTTGCCTATTTAATTCAACTGTTGGAAATTCAAACTTTGAATTTTGCATCATCTTAATCTCTCAATACGGCTTGGCTCCTTCCTTCAGTATGAGTGTGAAGAAAAGTGTGTAACACTGACAATTCTCTTGATATTTTACTGACTAAAAATGTAAGTCTGATAATTTTGTCATATCCTGTTTTGCAGGAAGTGCAAGCACTCCAGTGGTCTTCAATCAGAACGGAGATGCGCCAGGGCGTTATGACATCTTCCAGTATCAGATCACCAACAAATCGACAGCTGAGTACAAAGTTATCGGCCAGTGGGCAAACAAACTGCATCTTAATGTGAGTGGAAAGCATTTTCCGGTCTTCGTGATGAAATCCATCCATGCATTCATGTCTCCATCCAAAATATAACAAAGTATGCATGTTCAAATCAGATATATTCAAGCATAAATGTTTGTTGGAAATCTTAGCTTTGCTGATGATGCATGTGACATGAATACTCTCGGGGCATTCATTAGTCAACGGGATGGAAGATATGCTTGTAATGTTTTATGCTTGGCCGCAAAACAAAATTAATGGAGCCAGAAACGAGCTGTGTTTTCATGGCCAAAAGCTCTCACAGCAGTGTGGAGACTGAAGCTGTAATTTTCTGATACGTGACAGAGAATCACAGCTTCTCTGGGCTTTGTGTCTGCGCAGGTGAGTGGAAGGGGAAGTGGCCGCTTAGCAGAACTGTGATCCAGCCCCCTGTAGTTCTCTAAATCTCGCTTCTTAACTCGGGTATCAAAATCTCCCCTTAAGCGCTTAAACAGATCAGCACTGGATGCGTTACAGAGTGCGGGTGATTTGCATGCAGCTCATTAAGGGCGACTCACTCCGGAAAAAAAGACTTCTTTAGCCTGAAAGGATTGTGGCTCTGAACAAGGTTAACATTTATTTTTCGGGAAAATCATTTTCACAATCAATACACACAGCCAGTAACCATTTTGCAATTTTGCTGTTTACTGAAAGATGTGCAGGTCACTTTAAAGGGCTCTGTTTACTTACTGAAACTACTAATAAAACATTCAATATGTAAATTGCCGAAGCAGTTATATTCTTTCCAGTCAGATGCAAAAGATTGAGGTTGTGTAAAATTAAATGCAATTTTGCAAAGCAAATACGAGTGGTGTGTGTCAGGGCAATTGCTAGTTGTTATGGGTGTTGCAGCCTGGTTGCTAGGGTGTCCTGGGCACTTAAAAAAAAAAGACCATGAAACAAGACTCAAGATTGCAGTGTGACACTATGTTGAACTGAGGAATCAAAACTTTTGACATATAAGAAGTCATTGTACTATAAAAACATCTTGTAAGTTTCAGAACTCAAAACCTTCTCTTTAGTCAAAAAACTGATTATATTGAAGCCAATCTGCCAAAACGACAGGTTGTGGAATGTGCCACTTTATGACGTGATAGTGTGGCTAAACCCCGCCTCCGCAGAAGATGATCAATGCCTGCTTTTACATCACTGCATGTTTAGCTCCACCCACCAATTCATGAATGTAGTGTAAATAATGAGAGAGGCAAACACAGGTCTACGCAGAAATCAAACGATATAGATGCTCCGAAGACAACAAGATGCTGTGCAGAGCCAAGTTTTGGAAAAACACAGTCTTTGCATCGCCTTCCTTCTGATCCCAATATTAGGAAAGAGTGGATGTACTTTATTTTTAATGATGTTCCAACCAGCGTCAGTAAGAACTCGGTTCTTTGGTCACTTCATTTTACCGTGGAATCATTTACAAACAAGGCACAATTCGATACAGGATTTTCAGAAAGATTCAAATTAAAAGACGATGTTGTGCGATTATATTGGATCTGACAGTAATGCCGCACCACACAAGTGTGAGTAACTGTTTTTATTACGTGGTCACTATTGCTTTGTCTGTTATTACAGATCGTTTGATATGTACTGAGCAGAAGCTGTTGTGGTCGCGCCGCGACAGCTCTCGTGTCCGTTGTAGACATTACTATCCGTCACAGTGTTGCCAAGTCCATGGTTTTCTACTTTATCACTGTTGGGGGTTTTTCTCCCCAACACTTTATCACTATTGGGCTACTTTATCACCCCGCGGGGATGGTTTTTTATGTCCGCGGGTTGAAGCGACCCCGATAATGTGTATTTTAGCCTCCGGAGGGACCGGGGGACCCCCTCGAAACGCCGTTAGTTTGGGCTAGTTTTGAGTAGCAATTGGCCGGGTTTTGTTGTAAATACCTGGCAACCCTTTCCGTCAAGCAGGTAATGTTATTATTGCTAACATAGCAACTCATTGAAAAATACATTGGCATCATCTGTATTAAAGAGAAAATAATCACCTCATCTGATGTTTAAGTGAATAAAATAGCCTTGACAGCCTTACTTACTGGGGTTCCACAACTATTGACTTTGTTCTCTCTCACCGGACTTGTGTGTGTGTAGGTGATGTAAAAAAAGGAAAGCAGGCATTTTTGGAACAAAGCACTGTGAGGCAAGGGAGGGGGAGACTCAGAATGTTTCTAAACTTAAAACGCATTTTTGCCCCATTTGTGTTGTAAATCATTGTTATTTATAATGCACAGCGTGGTTTTAATCATATTTTTAGGGGGGACAACCCTCAGACCTTACTACTATTAGTGCAGCAGGGAGACCGTGCCAAATGTATGCGTATGCTGAGTATGTATGCGTTTTTTAACCTCAGCAGCGTCCATCTATGAAGGCTGTAGGCTGTCAAACATACACAACTGTTAACTTCCGAGTCTACTATCCGCCACGCCTATTCAAACAGAGCGTTCTGATGAGTCAAAACAGGACAGAAAATCACCTATTACTTCTAAATTATGATGGTTTTGATGTAAAAAAATGTATAGTATTATAAGTGGACCTCAGAGAACAGTACAAAAAAAGGCAGTTCATGACCCCTTATGTTAAGACTTCACAATCAATAGCAGAAACAAACAGGCTTATATAGGCAGAGGTAACAAGATAATTGGGAACAGGTGTGTTCAGTCAGGCATAAGTCCAGGTAGTGGCTTGTGGGAAATGAAGTCCATGACACAATGACAATGATGTAGAATGGAGTGCCCTCTGGTGGACAACCAGAGCACTCCATCTGACCATCGTTACACTAGGGTGGTCTGCTGATTTTTAGCTTGTTGCTAAGTGGTTACGAGAGTAGTCTGGGTGTTAGTCAACCTACATTTAGTGTGTTGCTAGGTGGTTACTAGGGTGTTCTGGGCATTTTAACATGTTGCTATGGAGTTTCTAGGTGGTTGATAGGATTCTCTGGGCAGTTTTAGCATGTTGGAATGTGATTGCTTGGGTGTTGTGTGCTAGGTGGTTACTAGGTGATTATTGGTTGTCTTGGTTGCTTTTGTAAGCATGTTGCTAGGTAGTAACTAAAGTGCCATATGTTTTTAACAGGTTGCTGGGGTATTTTGGGTGATTTTTGAATATTGCTATGTGCTTACTAAGGTGTTCTGGGGATTTTAGCATGTTGCTATGTAGTTGCTAGGAGGTTGCTAAAATTCTCTGGACAGTTTTAACATGTTGCAATATGGTTGCTAGGGTGTTGTGTGCATTTTTAACATATTATGTAGTTGCTAGCTGGTTACTAAGGTGTTCTGGGTGTTTTTAGCATATTGCTATGCGTTTACTAGGGTGATCCGATTGTTTCTAACATGTTGCTATGTGGTTACTAGGGTGTTCTAGGTGGATGCTTGGGTGTTTTGGGTGGTCACTTGTGCAAATGAAGAGCCCACTCCCAAATCTCGTTTATATTGCAATGAATAGATGTGCCTTCTTCATTGCAAACAATTATTATTATTAATTTTTTTTTGCCTACCATATCAGGTCACTTAAACAGAGGAACTGCATATCTCTTTTCAACAAGTCACACAGTTTGAGCTATTTGATTTCTTTAGCACAAATTATGTGGGACGAGCTGTGCTGCAACATTTAGTATTAGGGTTAGAGATTAGTTAAAATCCCTAACCCTATGCATAATACTGATGTGTGTAAATGGCTAGCGTTGATTTTAACAGTGTTTGAACCTTAGAAACCCTTCTCACTCTCCATTACTGTGTCTTCAGGATGACTAAAACCAAATTAAACAGCTTAACTGTGAATGGTCAGTGTGGCTTTTGTTTCAGACAGAATGGAAAGAATCAAATGAAGGGATTTGGTCTTTCAATTATTCTTAAATACCCTTCATACCCTTTTATGAGATAAGTCAAATTAAACTTCTGTTCATTTGCAAATTTTGTCTTTTTTTATTTTAATGTGTCTCTTCTTTTTCGCTTCTCTAATTAAAGCCAATCTGTTTTTGCCAGGCATAATTTGTCTCAAGCATGAATAATTCATTCACGGCCATCTCTTTGTAGCAGGCAACAGTGAGAACCATAGAGCATAAGTATTGAGTTGTCCTGATTTGTCACGTGGATTGGTCTGGCAAAATCGTTTTTACGTCACTTTTCAAACTCGAGGTTTGTCATGTTATTTTTAAATTTTTTTCATCTCAAATGCCTCTGGCACAAGTTTGTCCCAAAATATATCTGTCAACAAAGTTGTGCCTGGGAGCCAAACTGAAGCTGCACTTAAAAGAGCAGTGTTGGCTTCTTATTTTCCACAGCTTTCAGGCGCTAAGAGGTAATAAAGTGATGTCTTCAAATATGACACAACCTACATCTATGTGGGTAATGAGACTTCCTTTGAATGCAGTTTCTAATATAACAGTACGCCTCTGGTCTTCATCTCTGACAGGGCTTATTATCCATTGCAATTGGACACTATAAGCTGGCGGACATGCAACCTTTTTAGTGTGTTGCTAGGTGGTTGCTAGGGTGTTCTTGCAAATGAAGAGCTTACTCCTAAATCTCAAAAACTTTGTTGCCTGGTGAAAATCATAAAATCACTTAGAAAAGTAAATGTACATCCATGCTCAGTTGGGGGACCAGTTCTCCAGTGGTCTAAATGAAGGAACACTGTCTAATATTGACATAGGTCCCACTTGGTCCTGATAATATAACAGTATGCCTCTGGTCTTCGTATTTGACAAGACTTTTTGTTATACTTTGCAGGTGGATGCCATGCGCTGGCGGACAGGCAACCCCACGCTTCCAGCCTCGGTGTGTAGTGTGCCTTGCCAAATGGGTGAAAGGAAGAAGATCGTGAAGGGTGTACCTTGCTGCTGGCATTGTGAGCGATGCGAAGGCTACCACTTCCAAGTCAGCGAGTTCAGTTGCGAGTTGTGTCCGTATGAGCAGCGCCCAGACCGCAATCGCACCGGTTGCATCCCCATCCCGATCATCAAACTTGAATGGCACTCTGCTTGGGCGGCTGTACCGGTGTTTGTTGCGGTTCTTGGCATCCTGGCTACAAGTTTTGTGGTGGTCACTTTCGTCCGCTACAATGACACACCAATTGTACGCGCATGCGGCCGAGAGATGAGCTACGTGCTTCTGACTGGGATTTTTTTGTGCTACGCCATCACCTTCTTGATGATCGCTACGCCTTGTTTGGCCGTCTGCTCCTTCCGAAGGGTGTTCCTGGGTTTGGGCATGTGCTTCAGCTACGCTGCTCTCCTAACCAAGACCAACCGCATTCACCGCATCTTCGAGCAAGGCAAGAAGTCGGTGGCTGCACCACGCTTCATCAGCCCTGCTTCTCAGCTGGTCATCACCTTCAGCCTGATCTCGGTGCAGCTGCTCGGTGTGTTCGTGTGGTTCGCCGGTGATCCGCCACACACAGTGGTGGACTACGGCGAGCAGCGCACATCCGACCCCGAGAAGGCTCGTGGGGTTCTCAAGTGTGACATCTCGGACCTGTCGCTCATCTGTTCGCTGGGCTACAGCATCCTTTTGATGGTAACATGCACTGTTTATGCCATCAAGACCCGCGGCGTGCCAGAGACCTTCAACGAGGCCAAGCCAATTGGATTTACTATGTACACTACCTGCATCATTTGGTTAGCTTTTATACCTATCTTCTTTGGCACCGCACAGTCGGCAGAAAGGGTAAGTGAGATTTACGAAATCTGTAACTAAATGCACTGGTATTCACAATGTCATTGCAAGTAATTGCTTTTCATATTGAAAACAGCCTTAGCTCTTCTCTGACTTCTGGTAGGAATTTTTATGAATACTACGAAGTGACAGCAATTTGCATATGGAAATATATTTTTAATTAGTTTATTTAATGTACATACAGGTCAGGGGGTGTGATTAACTACATTATTTTAATAAAAAACGCATAAGCACAAACAGAAAAAGACTGCTCCAAAGAATTTGAGTATAACTTTTCTTTACAGAAATGCATGTTTTTATTAAGAAGAGGCAATATGAATGTTTGTTTATGTGAGCTATAGGTTGCAGAATATTGCTCCAGGCTACAGATAATAACGTCAGCTGCTGGTTACCCTTTCACCTGACCCAGCAGGCGACAACCTCCAGAAAATTTAAGAAGCTTAAGGTTAAGAAGCTAACCTAAGGAAGCCAAAACCAGGGTTTCACATACTCTCAGACTGATAGATATTAGCCTCGGGAGCACTGTAGGAAACAGACAAATGGGTCAGAGGCGATCAGGTAGGTGGCGACTCAAGAAGCATCGCTGAGATATCTGAAGCTTGAGTGAGCAGGACTTGCACGAGTCTGGATAGTTCAGATATGAAAGATCAATCCAATCATTATTTACTCACCCTCGTGTCGTTCCAAACCTGTATGCTGTTTTTGAAGCCCTTGAAGTATAATATCTATGCAAACAAGTTGTTCAGTAATCTTTTAAATGCTGAAACTCTAGTGTTTGATTTCCTTTCACAGTGGTTCACGATAAAAGCTCATTACCACATTGCTCTTTAGTCACATTAGCCTCTCACTATGACTGCTACACTTTGCGCTAGCCAAGAGAGACAATTATGGATATACCAATTATTCCTTACACTAACAAGCTTATTTATATTCTTATTTAACGCTAGAACTGTGGGATGGATGGCATTTTACTAACACAGACCCCCCAACCCATCGCATTACTCAAGATAAGAAAGCAACGACATGAATCATTTGATAAGAAAAAAAAGGCATCTTATTGAAAAAAAGAAGTAGATCTCATTGTCACGAATAACAAAACATGGCCTTAAGTCTGTATTTATTGAACGATTGTCTGATTGGCAACCACACCAAGCGAAAGGACTTCATAATTGGTTCGTAATGAAAAAATTACTAGCCCTGAATTAATATCATTACAGAGTCAATGTTGTATTGGCTGCAGCATTTGTGAAATGAACCACAGTAGAGAAGTAGATAAAATCCCTCCGCCTGTAAAATATGCTTTCATTATCAAGAATGTGCTTTGGTTAATGCTTCAAAAATCGATTTGTGTGGATTTTCATTGCGGTGACTATTACCTCTCCATTTTACACTAGCATAAAGATATCAAGGCTGATATGATCTACCCTCCTGCATTTGAGAATGGTATCACCCCAAAAACCAATACATGCACTTTGACATTTCCAGTGCAGAGACTCTGCAGAATCATAAAGAGTCAATAAAGTGCTGCATGAACAGCGGGCAATGTGCTCACGGCTCCTCAGGAAATCAATGCCTTCCAAAGGTGACTGGTTAAGATAATCACTCCACATATCTGTAGAATCAAATTACGGGTCTCGCATAAATCACAGGCAGATCATTTTATTGGGTTTTGTTAAGTTCACCGTGTGACCCGATCCTCATTCGGGAACTCCATACGTTTCTTATATAATTGAAATGCATGGTAAACTGATTTAAGCTTGGGATATTTCGATTTTTTTATTTTTTTTTTAAAGTGAAATTTACTTCATATAGATGTTTTTGAAGCAAATGAGCCAAAATTGACATTATTGACACTCACGGAGATGCCATTTTCCCCCATACATGGCTGTTTTTGTAATTGTAAATTATTAGTTTGATTTGTTTACAGAGCTGTTTTTATTTTTTGGAAGTCAAATTGATTTAAGCTTGGATTACTTAGATTTTTTTTTTTTAAGTTAAGTTTACGGTTATGGAGATGCTATTTTTCCCCTATACAGGGTTGTTTTTTGGTAATTGTAAATAATTTTTGAGGTTGGTTTTGCGTGTTTGCATGTAAACTAAATGCACGTATTTTTATTTTTTAAAGGGAAATTTACTTCATATAGATGTTTTTGAAGCAAATGAGCCAAAATTGACATTATTGACACTCACAGAGATGCCATTTTTCCCCATACATGGCTGTTTTTGTAATTGTAAATTATTAGTTTGATTTGTTTACAGAGCTGTTTTTATTTTTTGGAAGTCAAATTGATTTAAGCTTGGATTACTTAGATTTTTTTTTTTTAAGTTAAGTTTACAGTTTTGGAGATGCTATTTTTCCCCTATACAGGGTTGTTTTTTGGTAATTGTAAATAATTTTTGAGGTTGGTTTTGCGTGTTTGCATGTAAACTAAATGCACGTTTCAAGTGGATCGTGTGTGAAATGCATTATATTACAACATTATCTGAAAAATGGCAAAAGTTCTTAGCAAACGCATTTCTGTTTTGGTTCATCGTATGACCAGATCTGCATTCAGGAAACCTAATGCATTTCTCATATGATTGAAAAGCATGGTAAATTGATTTGAGCTTGGGTTATTTAGATTCTTTTTTAAGGTCAAGTTTGCTTTGTATTGATGTAACTGAAGTGAGTGAGTCTCTGTAGAACAATATAATGCCTGTAAGCCAAAATTTACATTATTAACAGTCATGGAGATGTCTCCCCCCCCCCATACAGCACTGTTTTTTGTAATTGTAAATGATTTGTTTGAGGTTGGCTTTGCATGCTGCCACAGCGTGTAAATGCATATTTCAAGTGGATCAGTGGGTGAAATACATTGATATGCACAGTAATATTACAACATTATCTGAAACGTGGCAAAGTTCTTAGTAACCGCACTTCTGTTATGGTAATCCTCTCGTGGGTGTAAGCATATTCTTGCTTGAGCGTGAAATATTCTACAATTTTTCTGTTATGAATGATGTTATGAAGATTTAAGTTTGCATAAGCCTGAAATAACACAAGCAACTTGCACCTCCCGTGCAGTAATTTCAATTACTCTATCCCAGACACCGTACCTAAACTGGATCTTTAAGTGACATTTCAATGTTTTTGTTTCACTTTAGTGTCTTTAATTCCTTGAAGGCCAGCTTTGTTTCCAATTAGTTCTGCCACCTTTGTTCTTCAAGCTCTTGTGAATCAAAGACTAAGTCTTTGGTGGTGTGTTCTTCATAAAAAGATTTCATTTACAATCTATTGTCCGTATTTAATGCCATATTTCACCTAGTAAATAATATTCTGCTCTTTAGATCCTGTAAAAAGAAATTCCACCTTATTTAAACCTTAGAAACATGCTAGCCAAGGCTGTTGCTTCTTATTTGTAATATATCCTATCTGTTCGGGACACACATACACACCTCCCTCACGCTATTTCTCCTGCTGTGTAGGATCATGCTGTTCAGAGTGGAAGTCGTATTACCTCAGATTAGATAAGCTTCAGTTACATTTGCCCTGCTAATATCATCATGCATGAAGGCGAACCTTCCACAAAAGGCTCTGGTCATAATTCATCCTCCCCAGCAGCTTCAGTAGATGATTTTCCTGCCGTTCGAGAGAGAGTGACCGCCCAGGTCCTTAGTGTGCCACGCATTGTGCTATTAATCATGGGACATCTGTGTGCAAGGGAAAATCGCTTCTGCTGCCATGACTCAATGTGCTAAAGCTAGTGCAGCAGAGAGAAGACGCCATACAGAAGAGGAATAGAAGCTTAGCTCAAGGTAGAGTCACAACAGCATTCAATAAGCCGAGGATGAGGTCAGCTGTAGTTGTACAAACAGCACATTAGTTTGAAAAGCGATTGGCTCTGATTGTATGAATGCTTTCTTTATTGCATTCGCTTGCTTTTTCTTTCACAGCAGCCTCACACTGAGAAACAAGTCACTAGAAATGTTTCCCGTGCACCACTAAAATGTCTCTCAGTGGCCAGATTTGCGATGTACAATATGGAAGTAGGTATACATATAGAATATATATATATATATTTTTTATATAATGTATATAAAATATATAAATTGGTAACACTTTACAAGAAGGTCTCATTTATTATAATTTATTTAATACAATTGTTCATTGTTCGTTCATGTTAGTTCATAGTGCATTAACTAATATTAAATACAACTTTTAATTTTAAGGTACTTTCATTCTTGATTCGATTGCCTGGTCTGAACCCGAGCTCGATTGCGCCCCCTCCTCCTGCCCCCGCTGGTTTGTGTTCATAGTGTATTATTCGCTTCATTTTTTTTTACTTAGGATTTTGAAAATTCTGATTCCTTTCCAAAGCGCCAACACAGAATGGCACATGTGTCTATTTGTCATGGCTCAAAAGAACGAGGGAGTCAATTTCTGCGAGCAGAAATGAGATATAAATATTTTCTGCTGCAGCACGTCAGTCACACTTTTCAAGAAAGCGAGTGAATAAATGCATAAATACACAGTTTGACCAATCCATACATCATTAATAACAGTTTACTTCCGAGATTAAGTACGATTGCTTTCAAATCAGAAGCAAACCGTACCAGAGTTCGTATGAACTGTACCCCAGCCCAGACCACCCTTTTTAGGCAGACTTTTTTTAGGTACGGTTTGTGGATGCACAGAAGTTCAGAAAACTGTGCTCACATTATCCAGTCAAACCGAACTCTGGCATCAAATGAACCCGGGTGCACACAAAAAGTGCTACTGTGAATGCATTTATTTGTAAATTAACATTAAACTAATAAATTCTGTAGAATTACTGTTTATTGTTAGTTCAAGTTAAATAATATTACACTGTATGTATATATATATATATATATATATATATATAACCCTGGAGCACAAAAGCAGTGTTAAGTCGCTGGGGTATATTTGTAGCAATAGCCAAAAAAAACATTGTATGGGTCAAAATTATCGATTTTTCTTTTATGCAAAAAAT